TTGAATGTCTATACAACTAGGCCTATACTGTGATGACGACATTATTACATGCGTATTGCAATCATTTATGTTACAATACTAACATTGTGATCCATGTACTATTTTGCATGTGTGTGTGTGTGTGTGTGTGAAGTGGTGGGGGGGGGGGGAACTTGGTGTACCAGCTGTATGTACTGACGTAATCAGGTAAGTACTGTATGTTAGACTGGCTATCCATGCATTATGTAATTTCTTAAATGCTTTTATTTCTCTGGAATCTCCGCCTGACTTCATTTGGTAGTCTGTCAGATTTCGCCAGCCTTGATCAAACTTCCTGCATTGTGATTTTGACAAAATGATTGTTTCAGATACTGTACTGATAAATACGAATTAGATTTGCAGGCTTGATGACGACTGGCATATCTGGTGTTACCCAGACGTCTTTTTAGTAAGAACTACAGTAGTGCCAAATCAACTTCATCATCAATGTAATGACAAATATATTGATATAAGTTTTCTGCTTAAATATTTTATTTCTTTTCACTTCAATCAAGAATATGTACCAACATCGGAATCTTTTAGTTTGGCTTGGCTTCACCAAAAACATCATCAGCTGAGTTCCGACATCACAAGGAAGTTAATTACGCTGTGAAAAACAAATCCAATTGTATTTTTAAATAATTATGATTATTTTGCTAAACACGCTTAATAAAATCTAATTTTATTTGTTTATCATCTTCAGTACCTAATTTTTCTGAGTTTATTTCATGCTATCTTAAGTCAAAATTATCGGTGAACCCCATGGTTTGACTTGCTAAATTTACTGCAGCTTTAATGTTTAATCTTAGTGCATCTGACTCTATACCTGCACAACTTAAATAAATTAATGAATAAAATAAATAAATACCTTCTGTTAGTGCTTTTAATACCAAACTGAGCTCAAGGATTTTCAGCGAATCAGTGAATTCCTTCATATTTTTTTCGCTGATTATCTGTTGGTCTTCTAGATCGTTGATCATACTCCAGCCGTCTTTATACTTCTTAGGAGGCGTATTATACGATTGATCGATCTGCGTCACATTATCTGGGGTCAGTACCATTCCAAATTTCATTAGCCTTTGTCTGTGAGATGTGAATCTTTTTGAAATGGTTCCTTCCTCCACATCTGGGAATGATGGCAGTTTTTCTTTAATCTTCGATAAAAGACCAAACTGTTTGGTTATGCTAATAGTATCACACAGGAGTCCAAGATTCTGTGAGCTCAGATGACCACGTTCAAATAATATATTCAGCAGGTCCATCGTGTGAGTTTCTGGTGATAGCTCGTAATTGTCCATCTTATCTCTGAACAACACTTTCAGCAAAGGAACACATTTGTTGCTGTCATACCATTGTGAGACAATAGTTTTTAGCTCTCGCAACTTCTTATCTGAGAATGCTATGAAATACATTCAATATTTATATCATTTTCCATTTGCATTATTTAAATGCAGATTTTTCATAAATATATATTTCAATATTAAAATTCATATTTTCACAGTTGCCGGGAGTAAATTGTTTGTTATTATATTATTAATTATTACAAGCATCCCTACAAATCATACAGTAAATAATTATAATAATATAATTCTAATAAAAAAAAATTGTGAAGTTTACAATTCTCTTCCATACAATTTATGAAGTCCTTCGCCTGCATATAAGACATTAGGTACTAGAAAAGTAACAGAATTATTTGACCAGGCTGTGGAATTAGGATTTTTGCCTGCATATAAGACATTAGGTACTAGAAATGTAACAGAATTATTTGACAAGGCTGTGGAATTAGGATTTTTGCCTGCATATAAGACATTAGGTACTAGAAATGTAACAGAATTATTTGACCAGGCTGTGGAATTAGGATTTTTGCCTGCATATAAGACATTAGGTACTAGAAATGTAACAGAATTATTTGACCTTGCTGTGGAATTAGGATTTTTGCCTGCATATAAGACATTAGGTACTAGAAATGTAACAGAATTATTTGACCTTGCTGTGGAATTAGGATTTTTGCCTGCATAGAATACATTAGGTACTAGAAATGTAACAGAATTATTTGACAAGGCTGTGGAATTAGGATTTTTGCCTGCATATAAGACATTAGGCACTAGAAATATAACAGAATTATTTGTCCAGGCTGTGGTATTAGGATTTTGCCCGCATATAAGACATTAGGTACTAGAAATGTAACAGAATTATTTGACAAGGCTGTGGAATTAGAATGTATAGTGATGCTGGGTCCACCACAATCAGTTCAGGTAGTTTTTTATTTTATAATTATCTAAAAACAGTAATTATCTAAACAAAGTTAAGGAAAAAATAATTTGAAAAAATAATATGAACCAAGAAACATCAAGTGGAACAATGCGATAAGTGCATGAAGATTATTCCTCTTATAAAAGACTATAGAACTACAAGAGGTCCAACTCAACGAAGGGGCGTGTCCTTAAAACTTAAATCTAATAGGGCGCCCCCATCACGTGGCAGTATGTTCCATTGCGTGCATACAAAATCAGGGTAGTTGCTAAATACAACGGGTTCAACCGAGGGGCGTGGCTTCGTATGTTGACGTCATTCATAATTTCAGCTATAGTTGGTCTTTCAGTTATAGTTATCGCACAGCATAGCAAAACACAACTCCATAGTACAACCAATGTAAGAAAAAATAAGTTTTCCCTGTGTAATTTTCTTTCCAAAATTAGGATCCCTGGAACATTTATCAATTTATGGGGTCTACACATAGTGAAATAATATATATGCCTATATTTTAGCGGTAGGGATTAGGTCGCAATCACAGAAAGAAATGAAAACAATTCAATGGTCTATACTACTAGTACTACAATGTTGTACTTAGTCTGTGGATTTTCCAACCTAATCCTATGAACAAATTATCTTACTGGAAGAGAAAATGGGCCTAATAAATTAAAATTACAACTTGTATTACAACATAACTGCTGAAGTTAAGATTTATTACTTTTTAGTGTTTCACAAAATTGCCGGCTATATTACACAAAAAGAAAAGGGGAACAGAATGTTAAATATTTAATTAAATTAAATATATTAACTTTCCAATGTCTGTATTGCAATTTATATTGTGTAAAGTAATGTATTAAATAACAATTAGGCCTACTCTTTAGTAGCCTAGGGCCACATTCTGCATAGGCTTAAGGGCCTAGANAGTTTATCTGTCTCTTATACACATCTAGATGTGTATAAGAGACAGGCGCTAAGCTGTCCAACAGGGGGATTGAGCTTGTATGAGGAGGGGGAGGGTTTGGGAGATAAGATTTTTCTAAAAATAGGGAGCTGGACGGCCGAAAATGGCCCTTAGCAGTGTGAAAGACATAGTTTGGTGTAGGCCTATATTTAATTTTTTTTTTTAATGGTCCAACTGCCCGACGAGTTCGGCCGGCGGCCCTGGACTTGTCCGATGGGGTGGGGCTTAAGCCCCATTGTCCTCCGGCCCCGCTGGCGCCGCCAGACAGACTGCTGCGGGTTGCTGGAAGCACTAGTCTAGGACCATGGAGTATGCCTTGCCTAGGCTGCGCCTCAGCCTACTGAAGAGGCATCCTGGTCAGACCTAGTGCAGGCTTAGAGGTGCCTAGACCGACACGATCGTCCATACTTTAGGCCAAATCGTCTGGAAATGGACTCGATGTCGCTTGGGCCCCCGATCGTCCGTCACCCGGCCGTAGCAGCAGCAGAAACCTATGCACAAACTAAGCCTCAGCCCGCCTCGCTAACGTCACATTGGACACACGGTGTATGTGCGATGGTTTTAGGTAGACGGTATAATTTATACATGACGTGTCACCATACAAGCCACGGCCCCTCGGCTGAACCTGTTGAGCAACTACCCAAAATCAGGGAAGTCGGACCTCTTGCTATTCAATACTCTTTGCTCTTATTCATTGTATTTAATGTATGTTTTAGGGGTTCCCCATACAGTATCTTCAAATTTTCTTTATGTAAGATTTGGTATAATCTTAAAATGGTAATTAGTGCTCTTAAAGCGCCACTTATTGGTTTTGTGTAGCGCCCTCGCTATTTGGAAGCACAGCCAAGCCAGATGAAGCTAGAGTGAACATGTTTTTGTTGAGCTGTCCAGAAAACTGATTAAATTTTCTGTAAAATGCTGTTTAACGTAGTCAGTTAAAGCTGAAATGATGAATGTAAGTCTATGAAACTATACTTGTTTTCATTTGTTCATAGCATTTAGTATTATGTATTTAATGGCAAGATTGACATTGAACATGTGTTAAATTGTATAGGCTGCCATTTTGAATGCTATAGGCTTAGGCCTAATGAAAAGTATTTGATTGTTTGATTGTCATGCTATGTTAGACCTGAATACATTATGATTTAACTTATCCGTCATAGGTTATTCTATGCTGTTCTAGGTATATATCCAAACTTATTTTTATCTCCTACTGGAATTATTGTGTAACTTAGAATCATATTGATTGACCTGTTGAATCAAGAACTCTATTTTACTTTTTGTGCGTCACGCTTGAGTGATTCCGATTTGAGATTTGATAGCCAATTGATGCTGAGTAGCAGATTAACAGTGTATTGAGATAATCTTTTGTTCTGTACCAATTCCTTTGAGCCTTAGGGCTAACCAGATAGTTTATAAGGAAATGATGGTAATCTGCTAAATGTGCCCTTAATATTGCAATTTTATTTCACCATGTATTTATGTTACTTTTAGTAATTAATTATGTTATTTCTTTAGGCTATGATTCATATATTGTTTCATATACTGTAACTTGTACCGGCTGACCTGAATGTACTTATACCCGGCAAAATAGTAAGTTTAACGGTTAACATTGCGAGTAATATTTCAGAAATATATTTTGATTACAGATTGTTTTATGAAAGTCATGTACATTTATAGCATATTCAATACGTTAATTAATCAAAAGGTTCTACTTGTTAAGCTATACCTGAATCTCATGTTGTTATGATTATGAATATTGATAAAGCTGGTGTTTAAAGGAGAAATGAAGGTTATAATGTGCAGTCAAAGGTTAATTTGGAATCTGAATGTTATTTTGTTATGCTGTTTACTTTTATACATATTTGATAATTCTTTTCTGCATTCCAGAATCGAATAAGAGATATTTATTAAACTTCATATCGAACTCAACCGTGGTGTTTGTACATTGTGCTAACC